GCCAGCTTCCACAGCTGCGCTGCTTGCAGTGGCCAGGGTCTAACGAGCCTGTGGTGCTGCAAGGGGGCAGCTTCCAACACTGCGCTGGTTGCCGTAAAGACCCTGTGCTGCTGCAAGTGGCAGCTATTCCAAGTTGACTACCCTTTGAAGTAAGCAACGCAGGGGTGAAATTTAGAGAAGGAAGTTATCATTCCAACTTCACTCACCCTTTTGTGGGCAATGCAGGGGTAAAATTTAGACAAGGAAGTGGCCATGCCAAGTTGACTCGCCCTTTTGTGGGCCATGCAAGGTAAAATTTAGAGAAGGACGTTGCCCTTCCAAGAGCGTACAATTTAGAGAAGGAAGTGGCCATTCCAAGCTGCCTCACCCTTTTGTGGGCAATGCAGGGGTAACATTTAGAGAAGGAAGTGGCCATTCCAACTTGATTCACCCCTTTACCCAGGGTAGAGTTTAAAGAAGATCTTGCCATTCCAATTTGACTCACCCCTTTATGTGGGCAATGCAGGGGTAAATTTTAGAGAAGGAATTCGCCCTTCCAAGTTGGCTCACCCTTTGGTGAGCCACCCGCGGGTAAAGTTTCAGAAAACGAACAGAAGGATGTTGCCATTCCAAGCTGCCTCACCCTTTTGTGGGCGATGCAGGGGTGCAATTTAGAGGGTAAAAATTAGAGAAAGAAATGGACATTCCAACTTGACTCACCCTTTTGTGGCTAATGCAGGGGTAAAAATTTGAAAAGGAAGTGGTCATTCCAACTTGACCCACCCTTTTGTGGGCAATGCAGGGGTAAAATTTAGAAGGAAGTGGCCATGCCAAGTTGACTCACCCTTTTGTGGGCCATGCAGGGGTTCAAGTTAGACAAGGATGTTGCCCTTCCAAGCTGCCTCACCCTTTTGTGGGCAATGCCGGGGTAAAATTTAGAGAAGGAAGTGGCCATTCCAACTTGGCTCGCCCTTTTGTGGCCATGCAGGGGTAAAACTTAGAGAAGGATGTTGCCCTTCCAAGTTGACCCACCCTTTGGTGAGCAACCCGAGGATAAAATTTAGAGAGGGAAGTGGCCGTTCCAAGTTGACTCACCCCTTTATGTGGGCAATGCAGGGGTAAAATTTAGAGAAGGAATTGGCC